CAACCCTATAACACGTATGAATTCAACGTGGGATGGTTCCTTTCATCGTGATCATTGACCTCTGCATGGAAAGAAAAATGTAGGCAATAATAAAAGTTATTTCGGAATACAAATACATTTGCGATGTCAAAAAAAATTTCCAAAAGAGTCTGAATATTGTAGATCTAAGAAGAGTTCGGATGCAATTTCTTACTTTTTTTCATTGTGGGTACATCTAAACATAGGCAATCATGTTTTCATTTCAATGGTTTAAAAAAACTACTCACCAGTAACTTGCAAGAAAATCATTATTTAAGCCACTTAACGTATATCAGGAACTAATGTGAACTAAATTTTTTTCTGTAAAACCACAACTGTCCACGCTGCCACTGAAACAAACCATCGAGGTCAAGAAATTGTCTTAGATCGAATACCCAAATGTTTTATTCTGGAGCACTACTTGGAATTTTTAAAGAAGGAACTTTCATAAAGTATGTAACACACTTCTTCTGCATTTTTGACCCCCTTCTTTTGTAACGCTTTCTGTGACATAGGTCTTTATTCTGTCACACGTAAAAACAAAATGGCGTAACGCTCTCCTCAACCCCCTGAACCCCTGGAGCGCTAAGTGATTTATGAACAGCCCTTTCGAGGTAATTTAAAAAATATTGAACAATCTCTTCTTTTTCTCAAATCCATCGACATTTTTCTTACATTGTTTCTCACTGAATGGTGCTGATTTGGTGGAAAAGACAGACATTTTAATTCCTCATGATAATTACAACTGCTTTTGAAGAAATAAATAATCCGTGAGGCTAACTTTTTTATTTAATTTTCCTATCTCGAACTATTCATATCACTTACGCGAGGATGTATCATCGCATATGTAAATATGGAAAGAATGTCTTTGTGATTTTGAAAAATTTGAAGGAAAAAAAACAATTGACATTGGATGTTCAAATGAGGCAAAGAGACTTGCCATGAAGTTTGTGTTGGAGGCTATGAAAGATCCGCTTATTGATGGCTTTGTTAAGGTTTTAATTATAGGTACAAACGTGAATTTCAAAGTCCGGAAATTACATTAATTCAAATTGGCTTAGGTACCATTTGACTAGAGTGTGACAAATTGACAGATCGCGCGCCGTGGACAGGGGTGGTTCGTTCGTTATCAATAGATTAGATGCTCAAAAATTAAAGCCTGCTCTTTCAATACTCAGCAATCCGTCATATTGCTGGAAAAGTACAAAATCTCTGAATTTGAATTCTTAGGTGATCATTAGGCGCATACGTAAACATACTACACACTCCAATTATTTTGACAAGAAGTAAGTTTGTCATTTAAATGGAGGCCTTTGAAATATAGCTATTTCAAACATAAAATAGCTCCAGTAGTGTTTATCCTTCAACACATGTATAATAAACAAGATTGTTTGTTCGAAGATTGGAGGTTGTTTGACTGGATGGCTTCCCTTAAATTGATTTAAAATATGATGATATACCCAAATAGACAGTTAATTACCTAGCAGAAATGTCAGAGGTCGGCACATTTAAGGTCAGTTATATATGTGCGCAATTAATACAAGACGGACAACTGACGGACTGTTGACTTTGGAGCAATTTTAATGCACGGAGCTACAAGAGAACGGCTGAACAAAAGAATTCCGTTAAATCTAAAATAAGCGAAAAAAATACGCTAACATGTATTTTAACTCAACCGAAACAAACAGTTACTATTACTGCACATTGCACTCTCCATAAAAGATGACATTATGCGTCAGTGAGCACTCTCAATGGATTTTTCAAATATTTGTCATCTGACTTCAACTTTATTTTGCACTCTACCAAAGTCAAAATGGTATAGTGTCATTTGTGTCGAGCTCACAAAATTATTTTAAAGGGTTTAGAAAACCATCATCAATTTAGTGACATGATATTTAATGGAAAAATAGGAAGAAACGAGTTAAAAGGGATCGTCGATTAGATTAGATAATTTTTGGTGGTTTTGGCACGATATAAATTGTTGTAAAGATACTAAAAACCGTTCGTCAAAAGGGGTAAGAAAGGTGGGTGAAGAACGGCGGGAAAAGAAAAGGAGAGACACCTGGTGTCCCTTTTCGTTTCCTAAAAACAGCTCCGCCAATATATGTCCCTCCCTCCTTTAAATCCCTCCTTTAAAGAGTGTGCAATAATGTTCACTTATGGCGTCATATTTATTTGATAAGGGGAAACAAGCTGTTACTGAAGTATGAGTACAGAATGGAGATTCATTTATAAATTCAGATAAGTAACATACCAGGGTGGCGTGAAAGGGAAGGAAGCAATGAGAGACCATACATTTCAGTGAAATATTTCATAAAATTTCACGAAAGCGCACGTCAAAGTATCTAGTCAGGAGTCGTGTAAGCCTTGTGTTTCGCACAGTTTCAGGGGAAAGTATGAATCAGTTAAACATTATGCCTCAATTTTTTTATCATTAAATCATATTTCAAATGTTTCTATTTTTGTCTTTGAAAAAGGGTGTGACTAGTTATGCCCCCCCCCCCCAACATTTTGTTTCAAAATTAGGACCTAAATGTCTAAGCCTGCATGACAGTCTATGGAGTCATCTCAGCTAGATTTGAAAAAGAGGAGGGAAGGTCGCAAAATTTCCATGAAGATGTTATGGAAACTTCAGAAAGGCTCAACAGTGAAATTGTCTAAACTTTTCCGAAAAGGAAGTTGGCTATTTAGATCTGGGGGAGGGGAGTTAGGAGGAGGAGGAGGTTAACTGTCGATTCTTTTGTCACTCCACGGCGCCTTTAATACTGGCGGAATAAATTTCTCAAGCTTTGAGTAAAGACAAAAATAAATTTGAAAATTCACAGCTGAAAACTGTTCGAACCCACCTCAACGTCTTTATGATAGACAGCAGCAACTTGGTAAGTGCATTTAAATGACGTTGATAACAGAGAGTGATAATTATCTAACAGAACTATGATAATCTTCGAATAGTTCAAGATCGGGGCTTAAACCCCATTTAATTGCATCCTTCAATGTATGCGATGTGCCCATGAAATTTTTGGAAATATTTCACGTGAAATTTTACAATTTTTACTTTTCATGAAATTTTGCCACCCTGTAATAGACATTTCTAGCAGATAAGATAGATCCAACTGACAAAAACACAAATATAAATAAATTAATTAAATTAAAATGAGGTAGCCAGTATGAATTTGTACATTATGAATTGTTACCCGATCATATTCAAATATTAAAGTAATATTGTAAGTATTGCTAGATGATAGTGACACATAAACATATTTAGTAAATTGGCAGTATTTTCTCCGTTGGTGCCAAAATATAGAAAGCAATAAGACCAAAAAAAAGAAACAAAGAAGAAGAATCGATAGTTACAACAAAAATGTCTACAGTTAGAAAATCACAAATAGATGTAAACATAAAGTATGTACAAAACAGAGTGTGAAATGGTTACAAAACAAATTTACAAATAATGTACAAAAATAATAAACGAGAATACAAAGCAAGTGTAACAAATGTCACGGACTAATGTTTCCGTATGACACTGTAAATCATTGACTAGTTTTCATACGATAAAATAAACATTAAAATAAAATCATGAATACCAGAGTAAAAATTCAAAACTATCATTTATTATAAGCACTAGATATTTGAAAAACGTGCGCTCAATAAATTATGAGGGAAAAAATAAAATGTTCAAACTGTTACGGGCCACAAGTGACTTTCAAATTACAGACGAATAATTCAATTTATAGACATTTCAGAAATTAACAGATGCATGGCTAAGATCAATCAATGGGTTATCGTGTGAGTTGTAAAGGACGTCGCATGTATCCACACGTCCTTTTTAATGCAGGAGAAATGATTCACGTGAGAAATAAGTAAAAAGTAAACTACAAGTCAAGTAACTACAGTCAAGATGACAAAAATTTTTGGTGGAGACAAAGTTTCGAGAGATTTTTTTCAACATTAAATGACTTTCGAATTCGGAGAAAATTGCACTGATTTGAGCGGAGGCGCTCTGCGAAAGCAGCCTAAAAAGAGCTGAGCATACACATATTGGCAAAATGTTATCTACTCTATGGGATATCGCAAAAAGAGGGAAACAGAAAAGAATGATCTCGATTATAATGGGCCAATTTTCAAGGCAGAGAGGAGAAGCAATTCTTTTCAAAGCAAATGACATACCTAATAAACCTTCATGAGAAAAGCTGTAGTAGAGCAACGGATGAGTTGTAACACATTTAACAAATGGATTGTTCAAATATGATGCGGGTAACAGACTTTTAAATCTGTGATCATAAAATTAAAATAAAATTTGACAAAAATGTAAACAGGAAAAATTAACTATATTTAAAACATTTTACAACTTAAATTTAAATAAAGTTGACGTATAATAATTAGTTGTCAGAAAAATTACCTAAATGTTGAAATAGGAGTGTAGAAATCGACAATGCATCCTGCGTGTTGAGAGAATGCACTATACATTAAAGAGAAAATTAGAAGATTTTTAGAAAAAATTGTGCATGATCATGGAAAAGGATGGAAAGTATCTATTCGTAACCAATTGGTAGACGCGTCCTCTATTTCAATTCTCGGAGGGTTCGGTTGGGTACCCATATATATTCAATGCTATTGAATAACGCGGCAATTAGCACACACGATATTCAGGAATTGAACCTCCATCATCGCGTGTACAGGTAGGAAGTAACACGATTCATGAGCCTTGGCTCAATTCAGTGATTTAAGGAAGAATGTAATTTTCAGGAGAAAACATACGTCGATTCCCAAACTCCTAATGCAGGGAAACACATTTAAATTAACGATAGGAAATAACATTGATCTACTTAAACGAGAGACAATTAGTTTCAAAAAAGTGGCTTGACGGTATTTTCAAGCCGAAAAAATAGGAAAATAGAGTTTCGACTTGCTTAAGAGGTGTATTCATTTGTAATAGATTGTAATATCATTTGAACTAAAGGCATATTTTTTTAAATTTTTAATTTTGGTTGAAAGTGCTCTGGAAATTTCTCTTGTCTTCAAAATGTGTAAAGTTCATGTGTAAAAACATGTTCAGTGTTTATTCGTTTTTTTTCTGTTTATGTTCATGTCTACAAATCCCGTCGTCATGAAAATAAAAAGGTAAAATGATTTTGCTGTGGGGATTTTTTTTCCAACAGTCACAGAGGGAACAGAATCGGTATATTAAAATTCATGCTAATTTTTCTACAATTGAAGAACCTTTTATTTATTACTTTTTTATTCTGACAGTGGACCCTTTTACATCGTAACCATAAGTTTCACAAAAATAGGCATGCGATCAAACATTCTGATGCCTCATTAGTCCGCAAAACAATATAATGACTAAGTATATAGAAACTACGTAAAACAAAACACAAAAATTCATGATATCACAAACATTAACTTCTTTAGAAAAAGAAGATAGAGATTCCTAGATGCTCTATTGAGAGAAAATAAAATGAGATCAATCATGAGAACGAACCAAATATACCTTTTTCTGTGAAAAAAAAAAAAATTAAGTAACCACACGATTTTTATGAAGAAATCGGGTTAGCATTTTTCTGGAAACAAGATAACACTTAAATTTGTGGTCGCGTAGAGAATAAACATAGCTTTTACATAATTTTTTCATTCGCGTGGATAAACTCGAGAGAATATTGGAACACCATCAACCATCACGATGTAAAACAAAAATTACATTGAATAATAATTCATGTCGTTTATAATGCCAATAAGTGCAAATGAATTTTAAGAGAAGACAAGAACTTAGAGATGCTGTTTTTTTATCGTGAAAAAATGCAGTTAAATCTGTTAAGTACTTGCTCTCAATCATACCAAATAAACGTAGCCTACCAAAAAAAAGGTTCCAATGAAAACATCTTGGAAACTTAAATTTTAATTCTAAAATACTAAATTCGATTTCTTTACCAGCTTGCGCTACAAGACTGAGGGTAGAATTAATCTGAATTAAACTAAGGTATGAAATAGAAAATAAGGAGTAGCAATTGAAGAAGAACTTATAAATTGAATTGAAGGAATTCAAAATCGTAAATATCATGAAATACACACTCCAGAATCATCAGTAAATTGTGTGAACATCATTTACTCTATTGAAAAAAGAAAACGAAATATTTCAGACATTAAAAAATGTTAAATGGACAACATTGTACTAAAGAGAGCTAGTTTTTTGCGCCTTTTAGTTTTACATTGATTCGTTTACTCATACTTCAAAATGATTTTGTGGAGAGGTTGAATTATTGATATCAATGTAATTAGCACGATTTTGGACCAACATTAAAACTCATTGTGCTAAGCACAATTGAATCAATAATCCAACCTCTGCAAAACTAGCTCCTAAATTTAACAGCTTTCATTATCTAAAACAAGTGTAACAAAAAAATAAATTGTAAAAATTAACTATTTCATAAAATTTTCAAATTGAACTATTGTTAACATTTAAACATTTGTAAATTTTTCTACTATAATATTTGCTATGGTTTCAACATTTATCACATCCAACAGCTTTTATTTACGCAATGCTTACCCTTGTCTGAGGGAAACTTCCAGCTGATTTATGTGACTACATTTATCTAAGACAACGCGACCTTAGAATTTCTTTAAGAACTATTAAAATGCAGTAAATGTTCATTGACAACACGACCTTAGAATTTCTTTAAGAGCTATTAAAATGCAGTGATGTTCATTGAGTGTATTCACTGTAAAAACAGATGAACAACATTGCAAATGTCTGATAGCTTAAATACTCTAAGCTTTTTGGAGTGCATTTACTATCAAATTAGTATTTCAAAATATAGCTTAAGTCCTCCTATTTTGAGATTGATGTGGAAAATAAGTATTATAAATTGCGAGGAGCCAAAAGCGTGCTTTGCTTGAGTCAATGACGACGTTAATCCTGTTTCTTAAATGAAGGGAAAAAGAAGGAGCATATGAGGAAGGAAAATATTCACTTGATAATGCATTTCTCTAAAAATGTAAAATTAATATGTACCTAGATGTAAATATAGACACAATAGGCAAAAACTTTAAAATTCTGATGAGAATTTTGCTGAAAAATATACAATAGGTATTCGTGGAAGGGCTCGTTCATTAAAAATCGTAGAAAAAATAGTTCGGCTCTTAAATACATACATTGCTTGGAAAAGTAAGTAAATTTTTGCGTAAAGCTTGATGGAAATGATAAATATATAAAGATAGTCTTCACAATGCACGATTAACACCTGATACAATAAAATCAATGACATTGTATATCTAAAAAAGATTACCTAACCAGAAAATATTGAGTAAAAATGCGCACAATCACAAAATACTAGAAAACTTGAGGTCAGTATTGGTATTAGAAAAACGTACACTTCCGGCCATAAAAATATTACACTAACAGTTTAAAACCGATGCAAAAAATAATAGGTAAGTAATACGGAGTTTAATTTTTGTATTCATGAGTACGGAAAAAAACCATTTGATTGTTTACTGTATGATTTCAACTACATTTAAATTATTTATTTTCAACTTGAGGTACAATCATCACACGAAATTAATTAAAAGATTTTAAGGAAAGATCTTAACTCAGTTTAAATTCACCTATCATAGACGTGCAAGTATAATTTGCAATAAGACTGCGCAAAGGATAAAACGTTGATTCAAATTCTTTCATCTATTGTTCCCATTGGATGTACACAATAACGAAGACTTCAAAAATTCCAGAGAAATCCATATAAAATTTCACATTTTATGTTAAAATCGGCTAACAAATAATTCCCCTTTCTTATTTCCAAAATGTCCACAGATAGCTCATTAAATGCGGTTAAGATTGGGGGCTGCGCTGTTCCCTTTTTACAGGAAATTTTCCTAACTGTTGTCTTTCAGAGCCCATAAAGTTTTGCGGCATGAATTTTATTTGACTACTTTCACCTCCAATGTTTGTCTCGGAACACAGAAACACTTTTGACTAGATTTGCTTATATTTTAAGTCACTGATGTCCTTGAAATATTAAAAGGGGTTGGTTTCGGTTAGCTTTAATTTTTGCATTTTTTCGGCAACTTTGCAGATGGCAAATTTTTGCAAATCCACACAGGTTAAGGAAATCAAATCATGAATAGTTAGGGAAAGGAAATTATAAAATAGGTAATGATTATGATTGAAGAATGGTTCGACCGGATTGAAATCTAGATAATGAAACATATATCTACACTAAAAAATAGGGCACAACTACAGTTAGGCAGAAAACATAGGGAGGAAAGTGCATAACCAGAACTAAGATCAGAAAAAAGGGCAGGAAAATAAACGATCGGCTACATTAAAATTATACTTAGCACAAATAAAATATTGAACTATACAAGTAACATAAAAATTTCGTTCTAACAAAGGCCAGATTCATCACACGGAGCATAACCAACCAACTCAGCATTTTCCCTGATAGGCATGAAAAAGGAGGGCTTATCCATCATCATAGTTCATAGATGTGATAACATAGAAATTACTAGATGTATCACTTCCTGTTTTTCCCCGCTGTAATGTTTCACGGATGTTAGGGTTATATAGTATAGGTACCCCGGTGAATGATGATTAAGTTGTGTCAAAGCCTTACGTACTTGTTGGAGAAGTTAGTACACAACGAGAGGCTGGTAGGTATTTATAATTTAAACTAAAAAGCTGATCAATCTTGAGGAAATTCTGTAATCTCCAATTAAAATATCGGTAGTAAACATTTAACAAAAAAATCCGTGTTACGGTGAAACGATTCGGAGCTGGGTGCGTAAACCTATGGCGGCACTATGATTTAAATTTGCTTGGCGCGGAGCGGCGTTCCTTCAACAAATGCAAGGATAACCTATTCATGAGAAATTTCCTCTCTCGCCCTTGGAAAGTGCCTCCTATACTTGACAAACTATACTTAAGTTTTCATGTAAGGATATTCAGAAAACGATGAAAAAGTGACGGACTCGTCATTATGATAATAAGTATACCACAGAGAAATGCTGAGTATCAAAAAAGCTCCAACTCATCACTCGTCACAGATTGTTTGATGTTGCAACTCTTGCATATAAACTGCTAAAAGTTACCTAAAATAATTTAAAATATTACACAGAAATTAAAACACATAACAACATTTAACTATAGTACATAAATAGAACAGCCTAGAAACTACGTCAGATATTTTTTTTTTAAATAAAACTGTTTGAAAACTCCAGAATCAAACGCTTCATGCCCTATATTCTAGATCCATTACTAATTATTATATTCTATTTCAAATACATAAATACTTTTATCACAACAAATTGCATTTTGTTACAAATTGGTTGAGGTGAGTGTCGTTTTTCGTACTTTGGACTCAAGTTTCACCATCCATTGAAATTCCTATAAACTGTTTTCAAAATATTTATCACCACAGTAATAATAATACTGGACAAAAATCATAATGTGATCCCTTTGAATGTGCGAGCTGTCACCAAAGTTGTCGTTAAATCGCTTAAATCACGTTACACGAGACACGTTGCGTTACGTGAGTGGTGTCAGATAAGAGTATTTCAACAAGCTTGATCATTTTCGGCCCACATTTTCATCTTAAGATTATACGTAGATTTCACTAAAGTTGAAGAATGAACTTCAGAGGAACGTACTTGCTGAGAAGCAAATATGTTTTCTGCCTGTGCGAACGAAAGCAAAAATTAGTGATGAACTAATCAAGCTCTATCAGTCTAGCATTTCTGCATAAAACGCAGGTCATCATTGCAAGGCCCAATTAATTTTTAGTGCTCTTAAATTTTTTTAACATCCTCTAAAAGTTACCCAGTGTATGCTACGCCATCTTAGAATTATTTCAGAAGCATTTTTATTTTTGATAACCCATATCTTCAGAATCCATAGTTATGTAAATTAATTTAAAAAAAATTGGGCCCTCCCGCATTCACGAAAGTTAACATCATTTTCAAGAATACTCTTCAGTATGTCTTAAGATCTCACTGCGAAAAAATTTGCTCACAGAGTGAAATCCATGAACATAAATGATTCCAAATGATGAAGGTGCTTGATTCACCACTTGCGAAACACAGTGTTCCTCAAAATTATGAAAACATACAAATGATGAGAAAATGCCAAAAAATTAATTTAAAATCGGTGGAATCACAGTGACATTAAGACTATTTAGTTTCATAAACTTTGTGTATCGAAGCCTTAAATGAGCTCTGAACATCGTAAATTACTAGTGAAACTTGAGTTAACAAAAATACAAAGAGAAAAAAAAAACAGAATAAAATAATGAAACAATAATTATTCTCAGCATGAGTCCTATCATTCCAACATCTTTAGCACCGACAAAATATAATAATATACTAAAAACTATGTAGATAATAAAATGTGTACGAAAACACAAAGAGGTAGCGTGTCAGTTTTAATGATTATTAAAAACGACCTATTACAATGATTGTGAGCTGATTTACTATACCAAGTTTCAATTAATAAAATATTTCATCGTAGGGGGTGGGGGATTTAAAAAAAAAAAAAAAAAAAAAAAAAAAAAAAAAAAAAAACTTACTAAATTTGAAAACTGAGTTGTGGATTTGTGGGCAGGATTAACGGAGACGAGATGGCTATGTTATGGAATATAGGTTGGGTAAAAAAAGGAAGCAATACTTGAAGAAGCAAAATAAGTGAAATTGAAGTTCCGAAGTCCATTGCTGGGCAAGAGTAAAGAAAAAAAAAACAAAGAAAACGCCCGGACGTTAAATACTTCAAAAATAGGAATCTAAACTGAAATTCAGAGGTACTGGTAAGGAAAAAATCAAATCAGTACCTACAAATTAAGGAACTGAGAAGCATCTGGAAACTTAACAAAGCCTGGATTGCGTTTAAATGAAAAAAAATAATCATGACCTTCAAGTACGTAGAAATGTCTTCTCTATTTTGATGAGTTTGGTGCAGTTACGAATCGCAATTGAAATTCGTAAGAATTTGGCCAATGAAAAAAGGAACATTAATTTTCAATTGAGAGTTACGAGAAGAAGAAAAAAAGATAGAGAAAACAGAAATGCATGGGCCTGAGCTTTTAGACCGTATTTAGGACTTCATTCTTGGCGAGGAAAGGTGATAATCAAAATATTGGGGCACAGGAAAAGGAAACAAATTACTGCTCGAGATTATGCAATGCCATCAATTCAAGAAAATTTTCTACTTGACACAGAAATGTATAAATCACATATCAATGCAAAGTTCCAGTTAATGAGTACTCATGTTTGGACCCAGCATTATTCACATTAACAGAGACACTGTTATGGTCGTATAGCAAAACATTTGGATGCAGACACACAATATTGTACTTCACAGCCCACCATTGCAAAACGTTGGGATACTTTCAGTTCGTCAACCACAGTAATTATTGAGATCCATAAAAATGTACTATATACTGTTAAACCCAAGCATTAGAAACCTCCACGTCTTACAAGTAAAATAATTTAGTGGTCATAAGAACTTTCATTAAATTAGGAATGAAATACTCACAATGAAATTTATTCGTTCAAATTGTGATTTTTCAGTACTTTTTCCAGCTGTCCCCGGTTGGTTTAAACGAGCCAAAATTTGCAATCATTCTAGATTAACTAATTTCATTCCAAACATGAGTCTTTCATGAGTTCTTCATTGACAACACACATTTTACTCTTTGCATAACTTTACGGTGACTATGCTATCCTCAAAGTAGGGAGTAATATTAAGCTACAATGAGTATACTTTGAGACACTGAATATCCTAGCCATCACACCGGAAGACAATTTTTCACAAAAAGAAGTATGTAATACGCAAAGGCTGGTAAGGCATTCTGAAACGGCTAATGGACACAGCGGGCACAGTTAAGAGAGCACCAAGATCACAAGGAAGAAGATGTGAGCTGGGAAAGGAAGAAAAGGGGTGAATAACTTTCTAAGTACTGTAAAAATGGAGACAAATATCAGTAACAAAATAGTGGCGTATTCTTAGTTGTGTAAATATTGATGAATGTATGAGGTAATACGGCAGTTTTAATGATTACGGGTTTTATTGTAGGGAGCTGTCCTAATCAGATAATTGTTTCTCAACTTTTATGAAGGGATATCAGTGTAAAAAGTAAATTATAGTAATGGCAATCATGTTTACGTTACTTTTATCTCGTTTGGTCTCTTGAAACGCCCTCATTTACGAGATCAACATTTTTTCTGTGTAATAGGTACACAGTCTCCCGTCTGTAAATTCACGGCAATTCAGTTACTTGAATATTATTATGTTCTAAAATAAAAATGACTGAATTAAGAGCTTGAATTTTTTAAGTTATGAGGAAAATGGGCATTCTCCTCGCTTTTTAGATAATTAAATTATTGGATTAGCCCAAACTTTAGATTACGTGTAATTGTGTTAAGAGAGATCGGTCATCGCAGTCGCAGTATATAGTTAGCGAGAGTTCTACTTTTTATAATAGCATAGTTGAGGATAACGTACAAAAAAAAGGGGCAGAGAGTCGGCCTTGAAATCTTGCTTTCAGAGATAAAAAATAAGAAAAAATTAAATGTAATAAAAATCACTACCCAAAACCCGCAGTTCAGAGTGGGAGCCGATGAAGAAAAACAAATAAATTAATAGAAAACAAAACGAAATTTAGTTTTCCTCAGCTTTGACTAAGTTGTAATTTCTTGCTGCGCTGATTTCTTACTTTTATTGAATACAAAAATAATATTAACTATAGAGAGGAGTATTATATTTTAAAGAGTCAGGAGCTTCAATGAGGTAATATCAAGTATTGATTTTAGACACGGATTTAAGTTTGTTTTTTCTGAAATAGCCAAGAATTTGCAAACCAAGTAAGTAATTTGAGTATAACTTGAAAAGGACAATTAAAAATTATACAGAAGATTAAGAAAAAGCAGAAGTAGAAATCAATCAAAGAATAAGTAAAAATTAAGGAGAAACATTCATAAAATAAAATCACGACATCTATAAGACTAACACAAAATTGAATAAACAGACATCAATCTGTTGAATTCATTATTTACATTTACATTCAGTCATTACATTAGCTACAAACCTGAACTCATCAATACGGCAGAACGAATAGACCAGTCTTTGGGAAAAGGGATACATTGCAAAACCATTTTATGGCAACATTATCATCACAATATTTTTATGGCAGCCAAAATAAAAACGGATCCATAACTTTCAAAGGAGGGATGAGAATTCAATGGGGAAAATTCGCACGTTTAGTTTTCTTAAAGCCCGATTTTTTGGGAATCAGTTAGAAGAAAAACAGCACCATGTTAGGCCCCTTATGTTTGCGGAAGTTGACATTGCTGGGCAATACGGGTTGTCAATGAAAGCTAACCGCTGTAGAAAAACCAGTCAAATTCAATAATGAATCATACGTTCTTATGTACATATCGTGCGCCGACTGTTGGTAAAAATATAAGTAGATTTTATTCGTTGTTCCGTTAATTCATGCATGAAGCTTTCTAATCTCTGATTAACGCAGAGAATACTCTGGAGAACCTGAAACATTAGCGAGTCTTTCTGGATTACTACAAAAACCGAAATATTACGCCAATAATTCATTACTTTAAATATTCATGGATAAAAATCAGACTTGGATAGTACTAAATCTTTTTCGGAAGCACTGTAAGCAAGTGGAAAAAAAATGCAAATCAATTTCCTTGCTTTAGGAAACAAACAGAAAAACGCAAATTGTAACAACTGAAAATTGTTTGTAACGCCTCCGAAGTACAATTGGATTCGCTGATGATAAAACGCATACCGGACGGAGGAGACACATTAAAATTAGGCTAAAATCACAGATGCTAGCATTTATAAAATCAATCACAAATCTAATCTCATTACTTTACCCCAAATTAGTTATGTTGCAAATGAAAAAAAAGAGAGAGAGAAACAGATACATTGAGCTTCAAATGAAAATATGGAGACGTTTGTCCAGCAGAGAAAAAATTCAAATAAAAAAATATATCATTAAAGAAATGATGCGCCTGCTATAAATTCTGATTTAGATTGTTTGTTTTTAAGTCATCACATGTCTAAATCAGGATACAAAACAACTAACTTGAAAGTCTGTAATTCAACTACTTGAGGAACTTTTCGAAAGTGTCACAAAGGCGCAGAGAATGCCAAAATGAACATTCTCGCCGCCTCCGCGTATATTACAAATCCTGTATGAACGTGAAAAAAAATGAAAATATGAATCGTGAGAATAGAAAAAAGAAAAAGAGAAAGAATCAATGAGACTAAGTAGGAGTTAGCGTTGATGTTGCGTTGAATGAACATGGGTAGTAAGATGCTTGGAGAGGTAGTCAGCGCGAGCGAAACATTTTCCGCACATTTCGCAGTGATAAGGACGTTCACCGGTGTGTATGCGCAAGTGTCGGGTGAGATCACTCTTCCCGCCAAAAGCTCGGCCACAGAAAAGGCAAGCGAAAGGCCTCTCGCCCGTGTGTTTGCGAACGTGTAACTTTAGATTCTCCTTGGAGCGAACGCACTTCCCGCAGAACGGACAGGCGAAAGCCCTCCTCTCTTTCTGCCTCTCGGAACTAAGCCGGAGGAGATTGAACAAAGACGCCTCGCCCCCACTGAGGGCCAGTGCTAACGAATCTACGGCATCTTCGCTATGATTACTACTAGGAGGAACACTAGACGACCGCGCGACGGCTTCGTTCGAGCTGGAGACCTGACTCTCTGACGTGGTCCCTGCAGGCGTGGCCGCCGCTCGGTTGCTGGAGCCCTCCATACTATAATCGCAAGGCCCGCTTGAGTCGGATCTTTGGTAAGGGTTCGAGTGAAGACGCTCCAAAGCGTGGTTGAGCCGGTGCTTCTTGAAGGACTTCAAATACCGGAACTGCATCCCGCATACATCGCAAGTGAAGAGCTTATCGGCCGGCAAACGTGCTCGATGGTTCTGCTCCCTGTGTTTCAGGTACGCGGATCGGTACCGGTAGCTCTGACCGCACTGGTCGCAACGGAAAGGCTTCTCTTCGCCTCCGTCTCCTCCGTGTCCTCTGACGGGTTGTCCGGTGTGCTGCAGAGCGGTGTGCTGCTCCAGGAGCCAGGTCGATGGGAAACCTGCTAAACAAATCGCACATCGAATCAAGCCGCCGATTAGTCCTTCGTCGGACGAGCCTCGCTGAGAGGCGAGTAGACCCTGTTGCTGCAGTAACGCGAATATCGAGATCGGCCCTTCTCCGTGGGCGAAACCGCTGAGACCGGGAAAAGCAGCGAACGGAGGATACTGAAATGGAGTTGAGGACCTACTACTACTACTCAGCTGGTCGAAAGGTGTCCTCCTGTGAGATCGACTACTTGATCCTTCAGCCATATCCTGCAACAGAAAACAACGAGTACTTTTAAAATTATTATTCTCATTACTTTCCGACGATCGGTTGCCCAGGCAGGTTTTCGATTGGGTTCCTTCCGGAAGGCGATGACGTGGACGTCCTGTGAAAGGTTGGCGACAAGGGGTGGAGGAGGAGATCAGAAGGTGCCAATTTCCTGATGATCTCTGGGAGGATAGGGGGCAATGGCGATTGGGCGTCGCAGAGCGCGAGGCGGCGCTATATATATAAGCGGCTTTATGCATGTGTACTTTCCGACGAACCTTCTTTCAGATACCTTACGCACATTGCACCTTACGATCTATTTAATACTGTACGCCGTCCACTTTTCAGGAGGGAGAAAGTAGAACATAATGTGGATTACATTTTGCAATAAGGAACCACTATTTCTGACTCTTCCATAAAATCACCTTTTTGAAGAAGGAAATCAATGGCATACATGTTGCTTCTAAAATGAGCCAGAAATAGTGGTTCCTAATCGCATAATGCGGTCCATATCATTTTCATTAATGGGTAGATTCATATCAAGTGGGTGATATAGTGTGCAATAATATTGCCGATGCTCCTAGGAAATTACGTGCGTGTATTTAAGCTTGCGATATCACAGATTTCCTATAGCATTTCATTTCTTTGGAAGACGAATGGTCATTGTTTACGTACCAAATTCCGAGGGATTCATTAGGGTGGGTCTTCCAAATTTCGCACTTAAACGTCAAAATCAGTTTTACCGAAGGGGAAAATCCAATCAGAGGATGACTTATTAAAGTAGGTTAGAGGAAATATATCTGTTCAGATACCTATTTATTTGCGATTTCAAGAGCCGGCGACGTTATAACACAAAGAAATAATGCATTTCTCGGAAAATTGACAATGTCGCCATGAAAATTGGTCATCGGCCTAATACGCAACGTTGCATTAAAGTTAAGGTGCACGCGAGAAACAATCAAAGCTTCAATTAGTGTTGCATGAGACGTACACGAAACGAATTTCATTATGACTCTTGGATGCAACTTTTCAGGCTTCATCGATGTCCATGTTGCATAAGCATGGTAGGGAAGGCGTTTTGGTTCTTCTGATAATAACTGGTTCACCTGCAGCGCTCAGTCGAGCGAGTCAATGAGAGAAGTCGTGCAAAATGCGGACAAATTGAAAGCTCATATTGCTACGAATCAACACATACAGGTTTTAGCAGTGGATACATTCAACGCCTCTATTCAAAAATTTGTGTGTGGGCAATATTTTTGTAAAGTAAACGAAGAATTGATAGCACTCAAAATCCGCAGTATCTTTAGATCCTCTCAGCAAAACTGGCCCGCAGTTGGCACCGTGCTGCGCTGCGCCGCAAGTGAAGCGGTGAGTGCCTGGACAGCCAAAACGCCTTCAAGCTTGTGCGTATGCAATACACACATCCATAGAGCCCGAATAGTTGCATTGAAGAGTTAAAATGAGTTAAAATTCGTCGCATTCGACACTAACTAAGGGCGCTTTACATGCTTCTCTTGCACCGTAACTTAATTCCAGCGTTACCTATTCTGCCGATGAAGTAAATTATTCCTGATTTTTACCGCAATAGTATTAAATTTAATTTTTTGAATACAAGTTTGACTGTTTAAATGTATAACAACTGTGCCGTCCTAAAATGTGGGCTACGCCTCCTACCTTCTCTGTTCTAAGAACGACTCAACTCCTGGATGTCTGCCCGATACGAGGCCCACATTGGTCGTAGGTTTTTCTTAACTTTAATCTGTTATTCTTTTCTGTTTTACAAATTGAAAGGTTGTAAGACATTCACAGACCAGTTACCTAATTAAGAGCTCTTTACAATTAACCAAACGCAATTACCTGGAGGAACCTACTCCAAAAACTTTATCAGAAATCAGCCATTCTCTGCCCATGACTGACCAAGGAACGAACCATACCATATTAACTGCTTGGTCATGATATCTTGCACAATAGAACGTATTTCTGCAAAACGGAACTATAGACGAGTGGGAAATATGGGGTGTGCTCTAGAAAGCTGCATAATAAACAATTTTGAAGTGAGCGAGATTCCCTTCGGAGAAATAGAAAAGCGGGATTTTACATTCTGTCATACGGTTCTATGTGCCAACTGAATGCGGCACTCATGAGCCTTGGGCATGGGAAAAGAGTGTTGTAGACAGGGCTTATGAGTTAATGCCGACCCAGAGCGACAACGGAGACGACTTCATTGCCGCTGGCGTCACTGGCGCTTTAAAATTCCATTCATTCTCACGGCCTTCGACTAACGACAACGAGCACACCCCTTCGGCCTGCTTTCCCACCTGTCTCTAGTCCCGTTTGGGAGAAATACGTCCAAAAGACCACTGAACGCAGGCTCGGACTGGCCATAAGGCCAATCTGCCATTGGCCGATACGCCTTACGCCTACGTTACGCCTACGTTACGCCTACTACAGATAGCTAAAAGAGAAAAAATAATAAAACCGAGAATATGTGCGGAAAGTTTCTTAAATGAACGGAAGGAGAGAGAGTTAGGAGTAAAGAAAAGTGTTTTTTTGCATGATATTCGTGAACAAAGGACCAAGAACTGCATTCAAAAGCGTAAACACTTTTCTGTGGAATTTTCACCTTTTTTTTTGACATACAGGCGCTTCATCATCCCCCTCCTTCATTCGCTACGTGTAACTCCCTTAGAAGCGATGCTCGGTTCGATTTTTAGACATACGCAGCCATTATAGGCCTCTTGAGAGACTTTTAAACATATTTCTTCCTTTTTCAAAAGGACTTTTGATCTGGACATACCCTAGCTTATCTCGGGCAAACTGAACCATAATTAATCTCGAAATTCATAAATAGGAGACATCTAAAGCGTAGACGCGATAAAACTTCTTCGCGCAAGATGAATGTTCACATTGCATATCGACGGTGTAAGTCGGCAATCACATAACTCGGTTTGCCACGTCGTACACTTCCTGTCATACTTTATTTTTTAAACGGAAAACTACTCAGCGGCAATTCTTTAAAACAGACGTGTTTTTTTTCCTCTACGCGAAGAAAATTCTTCATAAACTTCAAGGAATGATGTCAATTTGTTCTCCTTTAAAATAATAACACAGATGCTTAGATTTTCAGACACCGAAAACGAGTTATGTGATTGCCGACTTACACCGTCGATATGCATTAAATAAAGCGAGGGAAAGGATGCGGGTTAACGACGGCGCAGAGGTCCAACTTTTCGTGCTTGATGGACGTCCGTGCTGCATCTGAAAAATTGAAGGCGCGATGGCGCGAAGCGTGAGCTCTCAATGCTCTGCTATATGCTGTCAATGAGATGTCACTCAGTCTCGGGAGAAAAGTTAAAAAAGAGGCCCGAATACGTCTTTCCTGGCTTTGGCTGTGTTAATAAATACTCGTTCTTTCTTCTTTTTTCAGGTACTTGACTCATCTTTTTAAGGATGGATTTGCAGACCCACGTCTTAAGCTCGTGTAAACCGCAGCACTGGCTCGGTTCCCTTGGAAATGATGGTGCTTGGATGCGTCTAGTGGCTTTAATTTTTTATGTTTTCTTTAATTTTAGAAGTTTGTTGGTTACTTCAATATTTTCAATTTTGCAATTTTTACTCTGTACGATTAATAAACATTGAACCTGAAAATAGCGCAAACTTGTAATGTTTTGCCAAAATTTGCCGAACCCCTCTCCAGGTAGGGGATGCCCTACCAGGAAATATCACCGTGGTAAAAATTGGCAATAAAAGCTGCGTTTCAAAATACCATAGGAATTCTTATAGCCGGCTAAAGAAGGCTACAGAATATCATATAGCTGGCTGCAGAATGCGGAGAAAATCATACGGCCGGGCTATACGAAGCGATAAAAAATTATGCAGCCGGGCTATATAGTTCCTATCGCCGGGCTTTACACTTTATCGCCTGGCTGTTGCTTTTTCGCCATCGATTATAAAAGGCTATAAGAAATTGTGTAGAAATTCGTGTGCTTTGGAAATCATTAAGTTTGATACGGAACCACCTTAATATTTACAATACAAACGTTATATTTTCCTTTAATACATATTTTTTTTCATCAATTAAAACGAGACTAATCCATACAGGATGTGCAACCATTTCAAAATCATGAGATGAATAACGCTGACTCCGCCAGATTAAATATTAGAGCTTAACACAGAGCGGAGCGGCGACGCACTGGCTGCCGCACCGCAGCGTGCCACGGCGCTTGAAGCAACTATTTCACACCAGAGGTATTGCACAGTATCAT